CAGGGATAGTGGAATTGAAATTCCTGAAGCATGGATACCCACGATCAAGAAACACAACAGGAGAACGTACAACAGCGGACCACTGAGGGAACAGCTACTCGTCGGAACAACGGAACAATAGGAGGATCAAAATGCACCAATCACAGCCGACCTTTGTGATGTAAATGATACCGTGCATTCAGTCGACCTTATCGCCTGAAGAAGACTAGCAGTAAGCAGTCGAAACGTTGTGATCTACATCTCAAGTGACTACATCGTGAGACAAATTATAATACACTTTATTATAACAAATTGTAGTTCCACAAATTTCGCAAAAGCCTAAAAAATCTAGGTCTCTAGCGGGATGTTACTCTTGTTTTGGATTGACTTCATGTATCATTGAACTCCTAAGTTACTCTAAGAATTGTGTCTTTCTTGTTATCTCCCCAGTCACTTGTTGCCTTCTATGCCATTGGATACACTGAGCCTACCATGAGGGCAGAAAACCGAAGTGTAAGGAAGATAGCTCACAGCTACATCAGGATGATCAAGCAGGTCCAAAGATATGGGCCTTACTACCTAGCTGGCCAGTCCTTTGGGGGTCTTGTGGCATATGAAATAGCAAGTATCCTGACTGAGCAACGTGAAGATGTGGCATTTGTAGCAATGATTGACACATTTCCATGGTACCTACCAAACAGAACTGGTACTGCCAGGCTGGAGTTGCTCTTTAGTGGTTCAAAGCTGGACAAACTAATAGACGGTCTATTTGAGGTATGTATGATAGGATGTACAACTGGATTACACTAATTTTGACATAAATAACCCACTCTTCAGCAGACAAACCTGTCAGGTGTGAGTTGTTTCATGCATAGGCTGGGAGACAGGGCAGCTGCCATGCAGATTGGACACTTTTACCAATATTGACATGTCTCAACACCTGTGATTCTCAACACCTGCAGCTACATCATAGGAAGAAATTAGGGGTATAATCACTGGATTTACTCTTACAGGCAACATTTGAGCAAGTGCTTTGTAGGCTGGCTTCTACCAGCCTTGGAATGACAACAGAGGAATATAAAGAACTGAGAGAGAAGGAGACCCTAGTTGACACCATCAAATGTCTTCAACAAAGAGCCATGGATAAAAACATCCCCTTGTATGACATTACTCTGCTTCAAGACTCTCTCCGTCATGACAACAGAATGGCTACCAGTAAACACAAGGAATGGAAGCCACCACAGGTTAGTCTAAAGTCAATTTCAATTTTGTGTTAACCAGTAAAATCCACTTTCTACATATGGGCATGTCCCATTAAGTTATAAAAATGGTTCTTATAGCAGGTTAAATTTAACGTGACGTCCCTGTACCTATCGCTATCTCTTTTGTGACTAGGCGTCACACAAGGCCAACGTGACCACGTGACGTAATACCGAAGTTTAACTGTTGTTCAAGGAAAAATCTATACTTCCCACAAAAGTCTTTTAGGTTTAAACCCCAACCCCTCCAGAAATTGCATGCTTTCCTTTAAAATTTTGTCTTTTGAGAGACCCCACCACTTCAGAATTTCCAATGACCTCTGGATATTTTCTGTCACCATACCATAAAATAGCAAGATATACATATATACCATTTCAACATAAAGTAAAAGCTAAAATGATTTCTCTGTACACCGCTTTCACACTACAATGAAAGGATAATATGATGGATAAGCCTGCAACCTGTTATCAGCAGAACACGCTCAACTGGCTTTAATTTGTTTTTCGCATGGGATACCATATCCTTACTGATTTTTGCACCTGTTTTCCTGCGCTTAAAGGTTCGGTTCAAAGGCCCTCTCACCTATATGAAGAGCGCAGATCAACGATATACACCAACTCGCCCACTTCAAGAGGATTCAGATTCTGATGCTTCATGGGCTGCGTTGGTAGATGGTTAGTTGGATTCCCTATATATTTAAAGTTGATCAAGTTCTTCTGAATATAAGACAAATAACTAACACGACATAGTGGTCTTCCCTATTGATTAACACTGTCAGTACTAAACTGTCTTCACTGCTTGCAGGCAACATTGATGTCTATATCTGCCCAGGAGATCACCTTGCCCTTGGTGAACCAGAAGATGGTGCAATTGTCGGTGGTATTTTGGCCACAGCTGTTGGTATAAGATATAGGACCCTTTGTCCAAGTCTTCCTCGACTGCCTACATCCTTAAAACAAAGACGAGCTATTGGCAAATTTGAGGCTGGAGTTGATGTTCTACTGTATTCCAAGAAAGGTACAATTCTTTGATAATCAATGAACTTAATATATATAACCGTCAGTATTAATTTGAGAACAATTACTCAGATATGATTCTATTTTCATATGCCAAGATTTAAAGACTTGGCAGAAAATTGTAAAGGTGTATCTGTTCCTATGCATACTCCACGATCCTTATTTCAGAACTACTAGGTAATTGTTGTTAAAAAGTTATAATTAGTAATTAGTGATTTCACAGATCTACTATGGCTGATAACTGCTGTTGTATCTCTTCAGCAGCTTATACTTTAACCAAACACATTGTTTCATCGTTGCCACTTTCGGCCACCATCTTTAACATGTTTCGTTTGATTGACATAGAAACTACCTCGTGAGGTAGTATCGATGGTGATTCAAATAAACACGTTGAAATCATGATTTGCGCAATGCACCACCTGGTGTCCCTGATATGAACAGTATCCCCAGCGAAGCATGTTTCATTCATGCACCGCCCTAGTGTGAACACGGCTTTAGACATGTGTTAGCCATAGTCACATTGAGAGTTTTTTTGGTAACATGAGAGTTTGAAAAAAGCGTCTTTCCTACTTCTTGGAGTGTAGGAAATATAGAACAAATTAATTTTAAAAGGCAAGCATTCTTCAGCGTTGCAATACACAACCAAAGGTCAACCAGCCACAAGGCTCATAGTATGTTTTCACTTAACAGCATCCAGAAACACCCGCAAGGGATCTATGTACCTAGATGTCAGGGCCCACACATTGACATTCAAAACCATGCTCCAAAAGTCTGACAGTGCAAATCAGAAGAGTGATGCGAAGAAGATAGACATCAAAGGTATGAATTACAGTGTTAGTCAACTAAAACCTCAGTCAATAGTAATCAGTTAAGAAAGAGCGGTTTTCAATTCAGTGTCGTAAAACCAGAACCAAAACAATTACTTACCAATTAGACTACTCAGCCAATCACAAACCGTAGAAAAACCAATGCAAAGTAATTGCCTATTGTGATCAAGCACATTAGCTACTGGACTAAGAACTAAGGTCCAAGTATACTCCGGGAAGCTAGTTTCCACTTATATATGAATTCACTGTTCGCTTGTGTACAGGCTCCCCCTGTGGGACAAAGCAGAAAAACGCCCATGGCGAAATGGGAGGTGGCCGCTTAATAGAGCTTAGTGTACCTTATAAACTTTTCACCATCGGGTTAATTTCCTAGTGAACATAGAGTCACTTAAAGACAATAATGATAAACGTGTGCTTGAATCTTTTTATCACTCGTCACCTTCTTTTTCGTACTCTTAACTGCCATCACCTTTTCCACAAAAAAAAGTTTTAAAATTTTGGGTGGCCGTCTCAAAGTGGTAGAGACAATGACAAAACCCTCATTAGGACGACCAAAAAGGTGGTCACGGCCGCTTAAAAGAGGTGGCCGGTTAATAGGGGTTCCATTTACAGTATTCTACTGACAATAATTTCGGGACTTTGATAACTGGCTGCTTGATGAAAGGTGGCCGCTTTATAGAGGTTCACCTGTAGCAGAATTCTACTAAATCTCTATAGAAAGAGACCTAGCACGAGCTGTTGAGGTAATGATGGTGCGAGCAAAGAGAATTTACATTTTGATGATGAAAGTAAACATTAACATAAAGCTGTTTTCTTTTCTTTGTCACAGAATTTTCTAAAAGAAATAGAAAACACGTTCTCCGTGTTTTTATCAAGTCAGGTCATAGAAACACTTGTGAAAGTTTAGGAGAGTTCGAAAAAGCTCTGCAAACACTCACCTGTCGGCTCGTGTTCCCACAGCATTTCTCTCATAGTTGACGAGGGCGCAGCCCGAGTCAACTATAACGCACAGAAATCAAGAGCGAATAATCTAATTGTTTTAATATAAATCTACTGGTCGTTCGAAACTTTATCTAGATCCTCTTCACAGACACTTCGAAAACGCCAACACTGCTACGCTACTCATTATCTATCACAGAATAGATAGTGAGTAGCGTAGCCAATCAGAGAACGGCATTTGTAATAGAACGCTAGTAGATTTAAACTAAAACTCGATAGAAACACAGTAAATGTTTCCTTTTTCTTAAAAAGAGCTGCATTCTTTCCGTTCCTTAGAATTAAGAAATGTCCTTCCGGGGAAGTATGAGCCAAGCGCCATCAAGATTGCCTCCAAGGCACAAGACACTTCAGACCAGCATACATTCAATCTTATGCTTGTAACCTCTGTTGTGACTCCAAAGAGGACTTACAACTTTCAGTGGCACAGCTTTGAAGACATGAGAGGGTTCTTCACCATGGTTGAAGCCATCATGGGCGTGACCATCTCCAAAGTGTGATACACCAGAAAAGGAAAAGATTGACGTTTTGACGAGTATGAACTTTGCTTCACGGCCAGGCAATGATTGTTGCGAACAACGGTGGAATCTCGATTTCACACACCTCCTCATTATTCAAACTTTTTTGCTCCCTTGGCAAAAATGCAAATTGCTTAATGTTTCAAACATTTTCCACTCCGCTAAATAGTCCGAGCATTTGGGATTCCACTATAGTATACTTTCTTCAATTTTTAAATTAGAACTAAGTTTGAATTACTAAAAGTTTAATACATATTTTTTTATCATTGTTACAAAATTTTATCATAGTATTAGTTTGGTGAAGAGCTTTATCAAACCGTTATTAAAAGCATAGAGTATCTTACAGACTAATTAGGGGAACGGGTAATAGTTCATAACTGAAAGAACATTGAAAACCCAAATTTTGAATCCCCTGATTATTGGAAGCAATTTCCGCCCCCTTTAGTGGTTTGTAAAATCAAGATTCCGTGATATTTTATTTTGAACTGTTTGAAAAAGTAGTAGCCTAGTGTTGTACTACAAAATGTTTCATGATTTTTTGGTCAGTATTACACAATTTTATATCAGTATATTCATTAGGTGAATAGTTTAATCAAGCTGTGATTTTGTGCTTAGAGTTTCTTACAAGGGGAACTTTTACTTGATCAGTTCATAACTGACAGTACGGTGGAATCCCGATTCTTTGAACCTCCTGATTATTCAAAGTTATTTTATGCTGCCTTGGCTAAACATTCAGGAGAAAAAGTTGGTGTGATGTCGGATTTGCCTTGATTTTGAGCTCTGTCAGTTGAAAAATGGCTCTAGCTCACCAACGAGCACGGGCACCCAAATTTTTTTCCAGTCATTGTAATCAACTAATCATAAGCTTTGCGTGAGAAAAGACTGATTTAATTTCTATTGCTGAAAATTGAATAAATAAGAAAAATAGCAGATTCACTGTGGCCTTTTCTATTTTGCATTCGGTAACCACGTCAAGAAATTTGGTTCAAATTTTTAATCAAGGATTTAGCTATCTGTCTGAATCAAACT